AACCTTTAATAACTTTTTCCGCTTTGTTTTTACACATATTTAATTTCCCTGGCAATTCTAGTCTTTTGTGTCTTTTATTTCCCCCGAATATTAGTCACAATTTCATTACACACTTGAAAATTCCAAAGGGCCCCAAATTTTTGTATTTGTCAGCTCTCTGCCTAGCCTGCAAAAATTATCTGAGACTTGTGGGGGCCAAATAAAATAAACAAATTGATAGGAAACTAGAAACGTTGGCAATTAGAGCAGAGATATCTGAATAAACAACACACAGCAACTAAATCAATATCTTATCGGCAAATGCAATAAAAAAATATTTAAAGAAAAGAAACAAATTCTAGGCTTGTCTGAGAACACAAAAATAAATATTTATGAGGCAGCAAGCAGCCTGCCGATGAAAGCAAAATCAAAATCTGGGCATTATTTTTACACAAAAAACAATGCTAACAAAAGAATAAATTTTGGGTACAAGGTCAAAGGCTGTCACTCACGAAAATATGAAACAAAAATGCTAAATAAATGCAAAAACTATACAATTTCCATAAATAAATAAATTCCCTTTTCTGGCAAGGACAGCAAACACAGAGAGAGATCAAGGGAACACATTCACTTTTTGCTTGTGCTTTTAGGTAGAGTTCTTGGGCAGAAAAATCTCCAAAATAAATGAATTCCCTTGCTAGTGACAAAAGTGGACAACGGAGCCTAAGGGTTCACTGCACACAAATTCTGTTCGGTTTCTTATTCAAGGAATAAAATATCTAAAGACAGTTATCAGGCGAAGAAATTACACACACACACACAGACACTTGGGCTTTTACAGGAATTTCCCAAAAATATCGTTAGCAGAAATTCCCTTTCTCCAAGGGTCTCGTCACACCACACAAAACTTTTGCTTTTACAGTTCAATTTTTGTTTGCAGTTTTCTCTGCTCTGTCTTTCTCTGTTTTATTTAAATCACCTTATCTGCGTTTTATAACAAAATAAAATTAGTTTCTGTTATAATGTTGCCGCCTCTTGATTTTAGTCAATTTTCGTTTGCGTTGTCACTATATAGTTGCTATAGTATAGAGCCGATCGAGTTCAATTGGTTGCCATCTGAGCCGCAGTCGCGCGCCAAACACGTCCGTATCGCGAGAAGTCGTTGGAGTAACAAAAAAAAGTCCCAACCCCAGAGCTCACAGCTCACAGAGCTTTGAATCAGCTGAAAGGGGAGCCGAGCCACCAGAGAGCGAGAGAGTGCTTCCCAAAACGCAAGCTTTGTTGTAGAGTGTTGAGAGAGCGACTATGTGTAAGTGTTTTTTTTGCAGAGAGAGTGTGGCAATGCCGCCGCTCCGTAGCTCTTTCCATGTGTGTGTGCGTTGGGCCACGCGTAAAAAAAAGAGCCGTAAAAAGAATTGTTTTTTAATTTTTTTGATGTTTTTACTTTTTATTTTTACACGGACAGACAGCTTAATAAATTTTGCAAACAAATGCAGAGCTACTCGTACGACCAAAGTGTTGCCACATGGCCACGTTATTATTACAATATATTTTCTGTTTTCTTTGGGCTTTTCTTTACATTATCTGTGCTGCTATGATTGATCGCATGCTTGGCGCCGCTATAAATGTCTGTCTGTCTGGGTTTTAACGTCTTTGGGCTTTTAGTTTTGATCCGTGAAGAAAAAAAGACAAGAACGAATCAGAGAACTCATTAAACAGATTAATTCGGATTTATATTACATTTGTGGAGTGATTTCAGTGAGGCAATTTTTACGATAGAGTTGCAATGTGACTTATCATTTCAGAAAAATCTTTAAATAACACTACTTAAAAATATTGGCATTTCCAAGTTCTGAGTCACTTTGCAGAGCACAACATTCCGTGTCTAAATTTGTATTGAGATTCCAAGTGGAAATTACACACATTTCGTGCAGTTTCTTGCGCACTTTAGATGAGAGATTAAATTTTTAAATGAAAGAGCGAATGCGATAATCAAAGTCAATTATTTTTAGATTCTAACAGTCAGCTTTGAATTAGCTGTGATGAGCAAAGGTGAACAATCTACAAGATGCATTTAATTAAACATCTGCCAGGGTCAGCAGTAACACAAAAGTTTTTGGAAAAAGAAAACTCACAGATAAAAATTCTTTTATATTTATTGGGCGTAACTGCTGCAAAATTTATGTCATTTAGAGCTCTAAGAACCATCCTGCTACATTTTTTATTGACTCCCAAGACGGGTTTTATAATCTACGATCATGTATTCAATGGACATCAATGGAAGCACTAGCATCCGCAAATTTGAACTTGTTTTAGTGGAATCGTGCTAAAACAGATATTATTTACTAAGCCAAACGATCACAATCTCTTTTTAGTCCACTGCCATTAATGGCTTAACCATCTTTAAGTCCATTTTGTGGGTTTAACCAACACGTGCCTTTAATACAAATTAAAATTCTGTTTAACCAACACGTGCCTTTAATACAAATTAAAATTCTGACGACTCCATCAAATGTCCAACTCAAATAGTTAATGCCCAAAAACAAATATTGTTAATCGTAACATCAATATTTACTCTCCCACTGGATCCGAAAACAAAGCGGAATCTAACGGAGTAATCCCCTTTCGAGACAGCGCTCATCCATTAGGCACCCAGCCCCCCGATACGATCTTAAGTCGAAGACAAATGAGCTTTCAGTTTTATGGAGGAGCAGGAGGGAGACTGGCCCCGGGCACCACTTTCTGTTCCGATCGAAATCAATAAAAGTGACATAAGCTCTCATCCACGAGTACGGGGGCTCAGACCAACAGACCCCAAGACCACAGAGAGAGGGAGATCAGATCAGATCGAGAACGGAACAAGGCATCACAAATGCGCAGTGAAAAAATCAAACATACAAACACACACAAGCATCTAGCTTTGTATCTATTTGTGTGTGTGTGTGTGTGTGTGTGTAGAACGTCAAATTCTGTGTCATCGCCAGAACAAATTCAATTATAAGAAAGCGAAAGAGGGGCAGTGAAAGATCAAGAGACGGGGCGAGAGAGAGAGAGAGACTTGCCGGCCGGTCCCCAGGTCGTCTCATTCGCGTGACATTGAGTGTTCGTTGCCGTGCGAGAAATGAGTGACAGATCCCATACATACATACATACACACACAGGTATAGACAGTACGTTTCGGTACGCTAAAGCAGGTTATAGAAAGTATGAGACTGAAACATAAGAGCAGTGAAGCTGCAAACAGATTCGTGGTGGACTTTTTTTGGATTTTATTGTTATTACAATGTACAATATATTGATACTTTTGAAACGCACTGCACTTGAGTTTGTACATACATATCTATGAGTGTGTACGAGTGTGTATTGCATGTAGAGCTCGTGATTTCAGTTTACAATGAAATATTTTACATTATTGCCCCTCCGTTGTTGCTCTATTTTTATTTTGGCCAACTCTCTGGCCCGGATTTTGCGGTTGCATTGAGACTGTCAATTGGTGGATATGGAGCCGGTGTGTGTAATGGAAAACCCATCAAATCGATCCGCTGCTCGATGGATCGTTAGACAGATCGTTTGCTATATAGGCTAGTGGGTCGGGGTGTCGACGGCTGTTGCGGTTTTGTTACGTGCCTGATGAAATGTGCCACAAAAGGCGGCTCAATTAAATGGCAGCTGCCACTCAATTAATTGGCCATAATTCTCCTTACACTTTTTCGGTGGTCTATAATTATAATCGAGAGTGGCCACAGCAGAGTGGAGTGGGCGAGTGGCAATTTGTTTGTTTGCTCTGGCCCCCTGTCTTGTGCGTTGGAGTTTTCAAGTGGTTGTCATAATTAAGTGAAATATTTGTTGGCAAAACAAAACAGTTTTGATGATGGGAATTACGAAAACGGTCTACAACTCAATTCAAAATAAAGTTGATGCCTTAGAAGAGCGTGTTTCCCCCTTAATAATAAATTGTTTTTCTTTTCAGATCCGCTTTGGATAATGTCAAGGAGGTCAAATGTGATGCAATAAAAAATGCACTCAATGTATTTCTCTTATACATTTGTGTGTGGGTGTATCATAATCATCATCGTCGTTTCTATTAGATCATTGCCTCTATATATATGTATGTATATATTCTATGTGTACTTCTATGTATAGTCTACATCTTGTGGGTGTCTCTGTAAGTGGTTAAAGTCGCTTATAACCGGAATTACAGCTGAATTGATTGAGCCCAGATGTAAACACAAATTTAGTGCAGTTTTCAAATGACAAAATTCGAAGGTGGGGAACAATTTCGAACTATCGGAATTGACTTACCCCAGTAACTATTTCCAGTAGAAACTTGAGCTATTCAATGACTAAAATTTATATTCAAACTTCCATTAGTAGAAACTAATATTATGCAAGCATAATTTCATCTTTCGATCAGTGAGAAATCGATGAGTTTAAAAAATGTATTCTAGGGAAGGTGAGACTGTTCGGACAGCATTTTTCGTGTAGTCTTGCGTTCAATTCTGTATATAATTGTAGCATTAAATCATTTACTACGGGTAAACAGATGCATGGGCATATTACCCATAAAAATTACTCTCCCCAGTCTATAGCGAACCAATGTACCGTTATTTCTAAGTATAAATAATGGACAGTCCAAAGTATTCAAAAGCTCTTAATTAAATGTAAATTTTAATATTTGCAATTGTAATAATGTTTTTTCTCCAACAAGGTCAGTAAAGGTCCGGAAGATGTAACTCGAATTCCCAGGGAATTATTCCACACACACTCACAGCACACAGTTTTCTGTTTCTTTGTTCTAAGTGATTCCAAAAAAAAATAAGCCCACAAATACCGATGGTAACGCTCGTAGAATGGACATCTAATTGGACTGACTGTTTATTAAGTATTTCCCAGCTACGAATGAATTCAATTTTTTATTTTACTGAATTTTCAATCCGAAAATTGTATCTGTTACCCTATCCCAACTCCACACAACACATCTGAAATTTAATAGATCTATAACAAATTTGAGATAAACTCACCTCTGGGTGGTGGGCCCGACTTGGGCGTTGTGTGATCGCAGCAGAGTCGCCCGATCCTCGACACTGAACTTATGGAGTTCGAGGACCCAAAGTTGGAGGGCGCCTTCAGTTTGCTGGCGGTTGCTGCTCCGGTCACGGAGGAGGCGGGCGTGGGTATATTCGAGCGAGTGCTTGGACCTGGTATCTTTGAAGCAGCCACCGCCTGCTCGGGATCTGCTTGTGGTGGTGCTGCTGCTGGCGCTGCTGCTCCTTCCGCAGGCGTATCGGGATTATCACTCATTTTGCACTAATTATTATTTTTTTTTTTTCACTTTTTAGTTGATTGGATCACACGCGAATAACAACGAGAACTCAAAGACGATTTAAAAACTGTCGTAAAATATTCAAATTTTTTTTCAGTTAAAATTTCAATTTTATGGATTTAAAAACAGACAGTTAAATCCCGTTATATGTATGTACAGAAATCATATCGCATTTGGAAATCTGGCACTTACCTGGACTAAGGGGGGATTTTGCGGAATTTCTTCTTTTTGCTGGAACGATTTTTCATCAGCTTTTCACAGGCATCGGTCCCACTGTGCGTTAAAGTGCCGTTTTTTTGGCGCGCACATACGGCGCTCTTTCTCGCTCTCTTAGCCGCTCTCCAACAGCTGATGAAGCGGTATTTCTTTTTTTCGGTGGTGTGGTGGTCTTGAAAAATAAACAAAAACCCGCTTTTGTTGTTGTTGTTGCTGCTGCTTCGTTTCGAATTCAAAAAAATGCGGAACTGAAGATATGCATAAATTATGGCATCTATTTTTAAGGCTGAGACACTTTAGATATATACGATTTTGGGCAATGATATGCACAGATTGTTTTAAATTGAGTTAAATTTAGATTGAAACAAATTGCTTATCAATTGCTGCACTCTTTGCACACACACACATACACGTACACGCTGGCTCTCACATACGCGACGTTGCCGTTGACACAGTTATGGGACGCTGGGAGAGGGGGTTGGCAGGGGCACAAGTACACGAAGCGGATAAGATAAAGCTGGAATTTCGACACCGTACTACGAGAAAGGTTTTGAACGAGCCACGCGGCTATATTTACACACGGTAACTATTAATTTTTTAAACTTATTTCGGATTTTTTGACAACTTTTTTTTAGCGTTGCGTTGGAATTTTGTTGTTGTACTGACCTAGGGGTGGAATTTTCGGTGAATTTGCAATGCAGCTGTCGATATTTTACTTCGCGATAGATCGATATGACGAAGCAATGAGATTTTGGTAATTGTTGGCTAAGGTCACGCCAATTTTATTCGAAAATTTTAGTTGAATTTTAGCTAAATGAATATTTATCCATAGGAGCACTTTTTTACAGGCACTAACCATATATAAATTGAAAATATGAACCAAATGAATTGGCTGCGGAGAGCTCCCAAACTTTTAATTTGGCTAACAGTCCAAAAGCGGTATAGTTATGACACAAAACTATCGAGCTCTGACCAGGGATATAATGCTCGGTATACCTGAATTAACTACGTGAAATAACAGAAAAATTGTGTCAATATTCACCAATTTCATTCCATTTATGATTTTTCCCACAAAAATATCCATATTAAAATCATCGCCTGTATCACACAAATATATCAGCACAGTACATATCGATATATTCACTCATCATATTTAGCATCCCTATCTTCGTTTGTTTTGTTTTCGTCGTTTCACCCGCCTCGCATCGTTCCGTTCGTATGTTCTCTCGCATCGTTTTTCGCTTCTGTTCGTCTGCGGTGGTGGTCGTGTGTGTGTGAGGTAGTGTGTGAGAGAGAGGAGAACAAACGGGAAGCAGAAGCCGCAGCAAGGAAGCCTCGAAAGGAAAATCCAATTCCCGGAAATCTTATCAAATGAGCATTTCTTGGCGTTAGCTGCTAGAATCATTCCAAATAAAAGCAGCAAAAATGCCTCGGCTCTAATCGCGTTTTTTTCTGTGAATAGTTTTGATAGTCCGTGCCCCGCGCGTGTGTGCTAGTGTGTGTTTTCGTGTGTCGCCGTCGCAGCCGCCACCACGCCTACACGCTCGAGAATGGCTGCCACGGTCTACCATCGCCTGCACAGCGTCGCCGTCGGCAGCCCCAGCACCAGCTCCACTTCCTACTCCTCGTCCGGCTCGCCGGGCGCCTCCTCCTCGTCGTCGGCGCTGCTCAGCCACTCGCAGCTGACGCGCTCCCTGGAGCGTATCCTGGAGGAGGCGCACTTCAGCGGGGAGCTGATCCTCACCAATCGCAAGCTGAAGGACTTTCCCAAGACGGGCACCAAGTACGCGCTCACGGATACGGTAATTGCAGGTGCGTATCGTTTGTCATATGTTTTGGGCGCGGCTCAGAGGGAAGGTGTGTCTGCCTTCAGCCTGCTGCCTGTCGCTGCATTTTTCTTATATTTTCCTTTTGTTTAAAAATCAATAATCTGCAGCAGCCGCCCGTCGCTGCTTGTGGTTCTGCCATCCCATCAGCTGCTCAATGCTACCTCACACTCTCTGGGAGGCTCTCTTTTCCGTGCGCTCTCGCTCTCTCTCTCGCTCTCCTTAAGTACCGGTTGAACGAGTAAACAGCTCCTGTGCAGTAGTGGTTTTTCCTCTTCTTTATGCACAGTGCAGACAGAAATACATAAAATATGTTTCATTGCTGCATTATTTTTATTTCTTCATGCATTAAAACGCTCTGGTCTGGTTAACCAGCAATTTCAGTGCACGCATTATTGATTTCACGGCGAAGTATGCTCGCCGCACAGCAGCTGTCACGTTTAGCCAGTACTTTCACATTTTTATGACTTTTTATAACGAAGTACGTATGTATGTACTTGCCGTCTCGCTTGCACGCCCAAGGACAGTAATTATCGCTGTTGTTCCTTCTTCTCTTCCGTCCATGTGCACTTTGCACTATTCGCACTTGGTTTGGGTGAGGTGTTGGAGGGGGCTCGCTGCTGGTGTTGCTGTTGCACGCCACCCGGCAAATTGGTCGAAAAAGTACTCGGCTGAAGTTCAACCAACTTTCGTTTTTGTTAGGGCCAAAATATGCACCCGGCAGCAAAGGAACTATGATGTGTGTACACCCAAAGCCCACCCTCGATTCCTGCCGCCACCCATCTGTTCCTACCCCGAAACAGATGTTCTGCCATGCAGACCCAGACGGGACGGACATGTCGCTCATCGATTTTCACTTTACCGTTTGTGTGTGTGTGTGTGTGTAGGGTGTGCCAGTGTGTATGAGTGTGTGTGTGTGAGGTGGATTTATCTGGGAATGAAAGTTAGGCACGAGGGAATGGCTCTATTTTTGGAAAATGAAGATTAATTGCCACAAAAAGATAAAAATAAGTCGTGTCATAAATTGAAACGTCATTTATAGAATTTCGGTGAACATAAAGAATGAACTTTAATTAGATATAATTAAAATTTGGGAAAAATTGTTTCGAGAGCTAATAAATAAATCAATCAATTTGAAGCATGTGCAGATGCGTAGAGTCGTATTTTAATAGTATTACGAAAATTCAATAGATAAATAATTGGTTTATTACAAAAAATAATAAAGTATTGTTCTTGTTGAATAAGTCAATCGATTTTATGCCAGCCAGATGCAAGGGTCGATAAGAGATAAAGCAACTAAATAATGTTAATATTTGAATAAGGTTCCTTAAATATTTCCCACGAACCTAAAGAGTTAGGGCGTACCAGTAGCACCTCTCTAAGAGAGATAAGGGTGGGTTTGTATGTTACCCTATGTTCGCAGATAACTCCCTGTCGTGCCTGAAGCACCTGTAGTTTTACAAATACATACGACTATTTTTGGAAGTACCGTTGTGTCCCATTTTCGACCATCAACACTCTCTTTTGGTTTTAATTCAATTTAAGAAATTTTTGAAAATATTTTTAAATAATATAAAATGTACACATGTCATAAAACAATTGAAAAAAAAATAACCAAAATATTCTCTAAAAATATTTGCTAAAGTAAAACGGTTTATATGTGTAGAAAATTTTATTAAAAACGTTTTTAATTGATTCCAGATTTTCAAGAATTCACAATTATATTATTTTCTGAATTTTGAAGAATTATATCGTTCCATTAACACGATAGAACCTCTTCAATCAGTTGAATCTTAAAAGCCACAAGTTGAGATAACGAATCAAAAACTCAGAAAAGTTGTTGAATTTTCCATCTAAAGATTTGGAATACGAAAAAATGCTAGTACTGTTAAATTATAAAAATATTTGCTAAATTCCTTCGAAAATTTGTTTTGATCCATTAACAGTGCATGTTTTTCAATCAGTTAATTGGAGAATTCCAAACACGCGATAAATTCTTTGAGCAAGTATGTAAGTTGAAATGTTTAGGCACAAAATGTTTGAAATATTTATGCACATTCGGAATTTTGGAATTCTTTCGGCCATCCATTAGCCTATTCGGAATTTTGGAAATTCCATTTCCAGCCATTAGTAAACGTAGATGTTGTTTTTCAATTTCCTTTTTATCAATCTCTGCTCTCTGCCTCTGGAGTACGTGACTCTGGTTGTGTTGTTGCCTGTTGCGGGATGTGACAACCCTGCGGCCAGTCCGTGACTTTTGGTCACGCGCTATCGACTCTCCGCCTCGACTTCTTTCGAAACCCCTTCTCCTCTATAAGGCTGTGGGGGGCGTAAAGAGCTTCCGGTTTGTATTTCCATTTTGCTGATGAAGTTTCGTTGGCTGTGGTTCAATGCGTTTTGTGGCTGTTTTGGATTCCTATTAATAATTAAGTCATCGTGTGTGGGGGGAGAGGCGTGACTAATTAGTAATTAAAATGTGTGAAAGAAGTGGCAGAACAAGAGAAAGATGGAAGGTGCCGTGAGGTTAAGGGAAGAATGTAAGGAGCAGTCACAGTTGAGGGTAAAAATATTTCCTAAATATTGGTAAATGTTTGCCAGCCAAGAGCCACGAGACGAGCACGATAATTCTACCCCCCAAGTAATGTACGTTGAAGAGGTGGCAACATCTCTTTGTACTAATGGCTGCAACCACAAAATGTGGCACGGACCACGTTGCAAGGGTTTCGTTTCCCGAGAAATCAATGGGGAAGTGGAAAGCTGAGAGGCAAAAGAAAGCAGCATAAAATACCCATTTTTCAGGCATCTTTTGCAACCCCCAAAAAGGCAAAGAAGATTGATGGAGCGGCAGGAGCGAGAACAGAACGGCTGGGAGGCGAGGCGCCTGTCAGCATACACTTCAGTGTCCCTGAAGTGAAGTGAAGTGCATTCCACTGGGCTGGGCCGCCGTGCATTTAATTAACACGCGTGTCACGTAAATCAAACAGAGAGAACAGAACCATAAACCGAATCTAGACAAAGCCATAAAAAAAGATCGACTAGCGTCGAAGGCAAAGCGACAAAGAAAAAAAAATCAACATGAGACAACGATGCGGCAGGAAATTGTTTAAAATAATTGCAACGTGCAACACCAGCAGCAACAGCAGCAGCAGCAGGAAGAGTAGAAGCATAAAAACGAAGCAGAAACGGTGTAAAAATGCAGCTGCCACTGGACAAGAGTGGGGAGAAAAAGCAAAGAAAGACAAAAGTCAGTAGCAGAAAACTCAAGGCAAAAACTCAGCGGAAGCAGAACTGCTGCTGTGGCCGTGTTGCTGCGTTAAGGGTATTCCAAAATTTAAATCAGCTAAAGTCAAAGAAATGCAAACTGATTTCTATGGCAAAAACAGCTGTGCAGCCTGAGGGAACCATAATGTTTTCTGTGTGTGTCATTCGAGACCACTGTAGCCATTCGCTTATGGGAAATTTGTCAACGGAACTTCCAGAAAATGCCATACCACTCCCCAATCGACTTTAACAGCAAAAGCAGCTGCGCAGACCCCAGACTGTGGAGTCTGTGAGTGGGGGAGGGGAACCTGTGTAAACTGTCTGCAGAGAGAGAGAGGAACAAGAAATGTTTTCTGTTTTGGTAAGTCTTCTCGCCAAACAAAACAATTTCCCTGGCATGGGTTGGGGTTTGGGGATGGGGATGGGGTGTGCGGGAAATGCTTTTGTCGTGTGTGTGTGTTTGTGTGTATCTGTCTGTTGTTGTTGTTTGTATTGTAAATATGAGAGGAGACAGACGGCAGACGGATAGATAGACTTGCTTGTGCTTTTTGTTGTACGTTTATTGCTATTTATTCTCTGCGCCGGCAAGCAGTCAAAAAGACACAGGCACGGGCACACAAAAGAGGAAATGTGACCACCGTGTGGGCACGGACGGTCGCTTATCTCCAGTGCTGCTAAAACTGCGCTTGTTCGTGGCTTGCCTGAGAGAAGTTGGTGGGAACGAAGAGACGAAGAGACGGAGCGACTGAGTGAGAGAGCGCATCGTGAGGGCTTTGGAGATGGGAGCGTGAGTGTTAGAGCGTGAGTGTGGTTTTAGGCACTTCAATTCAATACGAAATACAGAATGAAAGTGGAATGAAAGTACCCATTGGTACCCATTGGAATAAAATAAAGGTGGAACAAATTGAAATCATAATTACTAAAAAAAAATACCCGTTCGCAATACCTACTTACGGAATATGTATGAAATACTACTGAAAAAAACCAACTATTAGCAACATTTATATGCTAAAATTGTTTTAATAAAGAACAGTATTCAAGGGAAGGTCTCCACATATAAGCGTTGCATGTGCCTCTCATAATCTCTATACGTATTATATCCACTTCAAAGTGAGCCTACATTGTATCCCCATCACGGGGCTAAAAATAACAAATTCTTTCATACGATAAATTGCAATTTGTTTGCATTCTCATGAAGCTTATCTGCAGTTGAACGACTTATTCTTGCACAAATCATAAATATATCTACAGTTATGTATATATATGTATATATATACATATTTATATGTGTGTGTGTGTGTGTGTGGCATGATTGGGGGCACTGCAAACTTGACACAGATATGCATGTACATTATTATTCATTGAGTCATTTCATTAATTTGTAAGTGCAAGCATTATTTAATAGTTGAGGGGCATTTCATTTTGTTGTTGTTTTTGCTTAATTGCTGCCCAGACAGCACGTGCCTCATAGAGAGGGAAAGACAGAAGAACCCATACATACATACATAGATCAGATTACAAACAGCTGCAAATAAAGTCAAAGAAATTGAGTCGACATGCCCCTCTCTAGCCCAGTGGCAGAACAAAGCATAGAAGAAGCCAAGCTTGACTTCGGTGCTTCATTGTAATACCCGGTAATTGTAGAGTTCAAGGGTACACCACTCGTAAGGTTATGCTTTTAATAGCAAAAGAATGAGGCTTGGAGAATATTATGGGAGAAACACA